GAACCAGAGAGGAGGACATCAGGGGCCAGCTACCCAGCCATCTAGCCATACAGAAGGAAAGTAAGATATACAGAAGAAAGATAAAAGCCCAAAGGGAAATGGTAGACAGGTTAATTTACAATCAGAAAAGCTGGCTAGAAACAAGCCAAGTTAAGGTCAGTCACTGATAACTAAGAATAAGCCTTCATTTACTTGGGAGGTGAGTGGCAGACCCCCCCCCACCCAAAACAAGGCCAAAAAGACAAGAGTAAAACATTGCACTACATGGAAGGAGGTACCATTTACTTACTTGGACCGCAGCCCTGGGTCTCTGGCTTCCTGCCTGCCCTCAGGATCATAACTGAGGTGCAGCTGCCTTATTCGGACTGGCTAGGACAATGGTACACAGAATCTGGCCCCAGACTTCCTGGTAAGCCACTTTTATCTGCCAGATACATTGTCGTGACATGACATGTCCCAGCCTTAACCCATGAGGTTCAGCCTGAGTGGGGGTGTGTGGACCTGGAAACTCCTAGCAACCCAGCAGACCAAACACAGGCATCTTGTCATCTTTGAGAGCTGTCAGTTCCATGTTGTGAAACTAGAGTCTTTTCTTTATTTACCATCTTTTCAACTGTTTCTTAACCATGCTTCCACGGCCATTAGGAGATCACTCATTTCCTTCTCTTTCCTCTCTGGTAGCTCGCCCTTAACTCTTGTCCTCACTTGTTACTTACACACACCTAGCCCGTCTGCCCAGGTGAGGCTCAGATGCTTAGGCCCATAGAGATGCAAACTAGGAGACATTCTTACACTGAGGCCATGTCATTCAATAGCAAATCAGCTAGCATCAGATATTCAATGCAGAACAGAGCTCCTGGTTCCCGGAACCCCTGGAAATTGCTCCCGACGATACATGGCCAACTTGCCCTCTCTCCTCTGGTCACAGAGGACAAACGTCTTACAAGGAGTGAAATGTGGTGACTACTGTGGGTCCTGGACACACAAATGATGGGGGAGCAGAAACTGGAGTCTATGAACCCGAAGCAAACTTTACTGCAGACACCTGGGGCAAAAAGATGCTTACCAGCTAACTGGGGCCACAGTCAGAGTCCAGGCTTCCGATACTGTGGCAATAGGGGAGGATTTTGAGCCTCTTTTTATAGTGAAAACTAAGCAGCAGGCACAGGATAAAGGATTTTATTTTTTTTTACAATCTAGAGATTAATCTTAGAGTCTGTTGTGCCCAAACTCTGAACTCTGAAATCACAAAGAGACCTGACCCAATGCAAAAGCAAAGACTCTTTAATTTTACGAGTTACCTGGCATTAACACGGGTCCTCCATTCAACACACCAGGAGGAGCAGGAGGGACAGTGGGTGGGGAATATATTAGGGTAGAGCAAGGGGAGTGTCTGGGGGGGGTCCCCTAGTTGCATAGCAACAGTCTCAGGATTTGTTAGCCTCAGGACTGGGGCATCATATCCTATGTTGGTTGGTCAGATGGAGCTGCAACAAGGTTGCTATTCCTGGAAGCACTCGATTACTATACTTTGCATTCCATTGCTATTGGTAAAGCTCATCCAGAGCCCACCAGCTAACTTTTGTTTGGTTCCTGGCCACATGGAGGGCAAGGTTGGGCAAGGTCGGGTAGCTAGGGACCTCAGCACAAGTTGCTGAGTCAGGGGCCTACCAACATCTTAGTGTGTCTTTTCTGCAGCCTGTTATGGCTGCCAAGGCAGGGGTCTGGGTGAGGGTCTGGGCCCTTCAGAGTCATGTTTACATTTTAAGATTTACAGTTTCTTATGGGGTGTTGGCTTAAGCTACTTGCAGAAGCCTGAAGCTATCCTGACACAGCTATTCTTACCATTTTTGGTAAGGATATGTTGTGCCCAAATTATGAAACCCCAAAATCACGAAGAAACCCATTTCAATGCAAAAGCAGAGCCTTTTTATTGTAGTTGTTAACTGAGCTTTAACCCCATTAATCTGGTCTTTCATCCATTCACTATGGCGATTAGCTGGAGAAAGACCCTCAGAAACCACCAGGCAGGGATCTTATAGGGCAGTGTAAGGGATTGTCTAGGGGATGCAACAGTCTCATGATTGGTGCATTTCCAGGCTTGGACAACATGCCCTGTGTTGATTGGTCAACTGGTTGCTATGGCACATAGGTCCGCCCAGGGTGGTTGCTATGCTCTGCATATCACTGTTGTGCACCTGTCTGTAAAGCACACCCAGAGTTGTAAAGCACAGCTCCACCAGCTAATTTCTGATTGGTTGCATGCCACAAAAAGGGTATCTGATCTTCAAGTGACCAGGGCAGGTCAAGCAAGGTCAGACATGTGCTGCAGAGGCCTACAGATCTTTTTGGCAGTCTGTCATGTGCTAAATAAAGCAGGGAGCTGGTCCCTTCATATACAAGACAATGTGAGTGGAAGGTCACATAAAGGCAGTAGCTGAAGTGAAAGGCAGTAGCACTTCTATGGGAGTGCCATAGAAGCAACTATTAAAGGTTAACCTTGGTGCATGGGAGTTGTAAGGCTTAGTTAACCTTGGACCACTGATGAAGCTTCTGGCTATAAGGAAAAAAAGCAACTGTCAAATCTCATCTTTATAGGCTTATATTTTTATATTCCTTGGATCTTCACTACAAGGTAAGTGGCTTACATTATGGGCTCAGATTCAGGTGGGGTCACAGTGACTGGAGTCTCTGGAAAGGGAGGGATGGTCAGAAGAGGTATGGTTCCAGAGTGTTGCTCTTTTGTCTTTTAATATAACTAAATGAAAGAATGCAAAATGCAAGGTAGCTGCTTCTCTAGTCAGGAAGAAGACAGGGATCAATAACTCCTGGGGATGGGGGCTGGAGGTAGGATTCCATGAATGATTCAAGAGGTCCCAGCATTCAAGAGGCAGTCCCATACTCTGGTTCAGTAAGATCACCTCAGTTTGAACCCTGGTTCTACCACTTTTTAGATGTAACCTTAACAACCTCCCCAAGCCCCATTTTTCCTTCTTCCAAATAAAAATGACAGTAGGATATACATGGCATTGATAGGGCTAGTTGTGGCCTTCATGTAGCTTTTGGCCATAAGTATTATTGTTCACTATGGGTGGAACATCAGCCATGGGCCTGGAACCCTGTTTGAAAGGGCAAAGGCCAAACTGATGGCAGACAAAGTGCCTCTCAGCCCCTCGCCCCCATGGGAAATTTGAAGGAGAGTCTGGGATTTCCAATTGAGTGATTCCTTTTGACCACTGAGGCAGGGGTCAGAGGGAGACCACCAGCCTTTGGGACCCATTGTTCTTCTCCTCTGACCTGAGAAAGAGGTATTCTCCCCTGCCCTTCACTTGGTGCACCAAAATGCATGCTCAGGCCAATGGCAAGTTCACTCCCCCGCCCTTCACTTGGTGCACCAAAATGCATGCTCAGGCCAATGGCAAGTTCAGGAGCCAACTAGACCTCAGATAAACAAACCCTGCTCTCTGGTATTGTCCTTATCCGAAAGAGTTCTCAGTGATTCACAGTGGTCAGCTGATGCCCAGCTGGCCAACCTTATTGTCCCCAGTTTACAGATGAGGAAGTTGAGGTGGAGAGAGAAGGGAGTTTTTGATGTCCCATATGGAGAGGTGACATAGGTCTCTCAACTTGTAATCATCCATCTAATGCAGACTTATGCAAAACACACAGATATTGAGCAGCCAGAAGAGGGAGACAGCTGAAACAGCCAGGGCAGGGAGATCAGGTGAGGTAGCTGGTGATGACGACTGGTTTTTCTCTCCCTAGATGAGCTTCTCATCCCAGGTAAATGGAGCAGAAGTGCTTGGCTCACCTTGTCTCCTCCCCAGGAAGGGTGCCAGCTGTCTCAACAGGGTCCAGGACAGTGCACTGTCTTCTATAACTGTGACTTCTGCTTGACCCAGTGGGTATGGAGTGAATGGGGAGCTAGGAGGAAGGGGCTCTCCCTATTTGTTGGACGTTAGAGAGAATGACTGCTGACCAAAGGACACAAGGACACAAAGATCTCAGAGTGCTGGGATGAAGGGTCACTCATCCCAAGTCCTTTAGCAGTGCCCCAATAGTTCTCTCTTCTCTTCTCTCTGCCCCCTCCCTGTCTGTCACCAAAGCTCAGGTATAACAAGGGCGTGAAAACATCCTTCCAAGTTCCCAAAGTCCCTGTCCCAGTAAAGATGAGAAAATAAACTTGATTTCTCAGTTCCTTATTGGAAAAAAAATATGCCATGGTATTTCTTTAGTACATGCCAATCATGATGGTCATGTGGTGGACACAGATTAGCTGTGTACTCTAGCAAGTTTGACATTCCCCAATTTCCTCCTGAAAATAAGGATAGTATAACTATCATGAGAACTGTAGCAAGGAGTGAAGGAATGCATGTTTGCTATTGAGGTTATTGGACTTGGGATTTATCTACCCTGGTCCATATCTCACTGAAATTTTCCTATTTCTTCAGGCACATTTTTCAACCCAGGTACCTGCTGATACCCAGAACCCAGTGTTGCCTGTAGGAATGACAAGATGGAAGATGGATAAGGAAGGAGATCCAGGAGCCAGGAGAGGGCAGAGGAAAGAGTGGCAGGGTTTGGGGATAAGAGGATTACTGTGGGTGGTGAGGAAGTCCCAATTGCTGGACAGTATAGGGTCCTTCAGGGTGGATCTGTGCTTTTCTGGTCTCTGAAGTCCCTTACAGACAGGGAGGCAGGTGTAAATCCGTGAAGATCACCTGCCCAGGGCCCCACCCCAAGTCAGCCTTGACCCACCTTAGCCTGTGCACACAACCTGCAGTCTGAGACATTTCTCCTCTTAGAGCCTGGCAGGGGCATCCAGCATCTTTGCATTCTTCTTTTCTGAGAAATTCGTGAGTCAGCACTTCCAGGATGTGGAGTTAGACCAAGGCGATCCTCAGCCTGGAGACCTCTATGTGTTCCAATTGCAGTCTTCTAAGACACAGCGGTGTGGAGCCCATGTGGGTGTTTACTGTGGCCGAGGAGAGATCATACACTTAGAGAGTGAGCAATAACAAACTTGTCCAGTCATGAGGGGGCTTCACTGGGATGAAAACTGGGATGAAAGCATGGGTCTCTGAAATGGGGAGGGGCAGTCCAGGTGTGAGACTTCTGTTTGAGGAAATGCTAGTTATTATTTTCACTGGGTCTGCTATCCTCACAGGCATGACCTCCAGTGGTAGTGGACTACAAATGCTTCTGGAACACTGTGAAAGTGTGGTACACAAAGAGGGTCTCTATTCAATGATGCACACCCGAAAGCTCTTGAGAGTGCTTCGAAAACGTGATGGCATTGACCCTAAGGTGCTGGATCAACGTGTGCACACAGCTATGAACAGTGTTCCTCCTCGCTATCATCCTATTAGCAGCAACTGTGTGCACTTTGCACTGAACCTGTTGGGCATGGACTCAGTAAGCACTACTTGTCTAGCCACACATATCCCCATGCTTGCTCCTGAGTTTGCTAACAAATGCAACTACCCAACCTGCTCCAGCAAAATTCAGATGTTCCCCTCCCCTACTACACTCAGGCAAGGTTCCCATAAACTTAAGGTCTTTACAATGGCAGTTCAAAAGGAAGGAGCCGGGAGAGGATAGAGAAAAGAGAGGCAGGATTTGGGGATAAGAGGATAACTGTGGATTGTGAGGACGTCCCAATTGCTGGACAGTATGGGGTCCTTCAGGGTGGCTCAGGGCAGGGTGGATCTGTAGTTTTCAGGGCTCTGCAGTCTCTTACAGACAGGGAGGCAGGTGTAAAGCAGTGAAAACCTCCTGCCAGGGTCATACCCCAAGCCAGGTTTTACATCTGTGATAAGCAGAATGACCCAACTCTGCCTGCACACACACCCTGCAATCTGAGACATTTCTCTTCTTAGACCATGATAAGGCCATCCTGCACCTTTAAGTTCTTCCCTGAGGAGCCCATGAGTCAGGATTTCCAGGAGGTGGAGTTAGACAAAGGCGATCCTCAACCTGGAGACCTCTTCCTGTTCAAGTTGCAGTCTTCTAAGTCACAGTGGTGCAGAGTCCATGTAGGTGTTTACTGCGGCCATGGAGAGATCATACACTTTGAGGGTGAGTGAAAATAAATTTGTCTGATTATTAGGGGGTGGGCTGGCATGAGAACTCTCTGGAAAGAAGAGTCACAGCCCTAGAATCTGACTTCAGTTTGACGAAAGTTGCTACCTCTGATTTGCACTGTGCTTGCTGCTATCCCCACAGACAGGACCTCCAGCAGTGGTGTGGTGAGGAAACAGTCCCTCAGTGACATAAGGCACTCAGGAGAGATTGCACATGTGCTTCACAAATGTAGCGGTGTTGATGCTGGAGTTCTGGAGTGCAGTGTGCAGGAAGCAATGACTGATGATCTTCATCTCCATGGTCCTGCTAGGAGAAACTGCCTGAACTTTGCATTGAAGCTGTTGGAGATGCAGTCAGTAAGTACCAGTCCTTTAGTAGCACAATTCCCCATCCTAGACCCTGAGCTTGCTTACAAATGCACTTAGCCAACCTGCTCCAGCAAAATTCAGATGTTCCCCAACCCTGCTACACTCAGACCAGTTTCCTCTAAATTCAGGGTCTTTACACTAGCATTTCAAAAGTCCCCAGAAACAAATTGGTGTGCCTATTTGTGAAGTTACACACTATGAAACCCTTTTGAGTCCTTGCCAGGCAGACCTCAAGCCCCAGTTCTTAAATCCAGAGATGGTTACCGAATACTAATCTCCTACCCAGGTGCTGGTCCAACCCCATCATTCTTCTTCCTTCAGGAGAACTTTCTGAAAGAACATGTCAAGACACGTTCTGAACCTAAAGAGAATTATTTGCCCCAGAGGGACAGAGTCAGGGGACAGAAGACCAGGGAGAGAGGAGGAAAGGGGCAAGAGAGAAGGGAAGAGATATTTTCCCAGAGGGGCAAAGGACGGCCTCTGTATAAAGTGCAGGCAGATGTGGCTCTTACACAAATGGCAGTTGATAAAGGGAAAAGGGTAACCCCAATTGTTAGGATCAGTTGGTTTGTTTTGAATGGATATGTTAATTAGGGTAGACAAAAGGGAGCTTTTGATTGATGGAATTTAGTACTTTAACAGTTAGAACTTGGTGGTCAGCCTCAGGAGGAGGAAGTGGTCAAATAAGGGAATATACCTTGGTAGCTAACTTTAGAAATATAATCTAACATTTTGGATGGCCAGGGAATGGAAGAGGGCTAGACCTACAGAGTCTTGTTTGCCATGCTCTGGCCTACCTGAGCTATTCACTTTCTATTGACCCAAAGTCCAGCTTTCTGAGTTCCCCTCATCTCCAACCAACCCACCAATTCGGATCTTGGAGACTTGGGGATCCTTCTTCTACAAGTCAAGACAGCCCTTGGGAACTCTTCCTTTCTCCTAGTCTAGCCAGGATATTCTAACCACTCAACCCCATGTCCAAAACTTTAGTTACCAATTCGGATCTTGGAGACTTGGGGACCCTTCTTCTACAAGTCAAGACAGCCCTTGGGAACTCTTCCTTTCTCCAAGTCTAGCCAGGATATTCTAACCACTCAACCCCATGTCCAAAACTTTAGTCCAAAGAGATATAATAACCCATACATCAGCCCAATTTAGGGTTATCTCTCCATCCAGACCTATTCCCCTCCTTTCTTCCTTTCACTTTTCCCTCCTTTCTTTCTTTGGGTCTCGGGAGCAAAGCTCCAGGAATCACAAATTCCTGGAGACCTGGAGATTACATCATAGTGAAGTCTGTGTGTTACTTCTCCCTTCCCTCCTAGATGTCAGTGGACCTGGACTTCACCAGGAATTGATGTGACCATGAGCCCTCCGGAGATTGCCAGAAGAGGCTTCAATAGGGATCATTAAAGTGCTTTCTAAAACTTAATTAGGGTGTTAGATGTTCTCTCTACTCCACCTGGAACTGCTCTGCTCCCAAATGCACTTAGTGATGCTTCCTGGGTCATCCTGCCCCTAAATTCCAATTCTTCCAGGAAACTGCTAAGCTTCCCACTTAATAGGCCGGCTGCCTCCAGAGGGATTTAGGCTGTGAGAAAAGGAGCTTGGAAAGGCACCATCCCTTCATCTCCAGGCCTGGTGTTCCAACAGGTGCCTAAGGGTATGGTCTTCTTTCAGCATACCGCCCTTCCTTCACTGGGTGGGTGTGCAGATCCCTGGAGGTCAGATGATTAGGGTGGTATTAACTTTCAGACCTGTAAGTGTCTGCATTTGCTTTAAGTGCTGAGGTATGGGTGTAAGGGAAGGGGGTTTTCTGAGTGATTGGGCTGGGCAGGCTCTGTTCCTCCTTCCAATGTCCCCACACCCCAACCCCTGCAATGGTGCCGGTGCCTTTAAGAACGCCTTGCCTAGGCCCTAGCCCAGCCTGGAAGCTTATCCACCCAGAAGCACAGACTCATATCAGCCCTCCTTGCCTACAGTAAAGACAGGGGTGACTGGGCCGGCCCCATGAGGTGCTAGATCTACTCCACTACTAACTATAAACTGGTAGTTAGCAAAAGGTATGACTGGTCGTGACTGACAAAGACCACGGACAGCACCTGCGAAGCTGCAGCCTCCAGGGTTGGGACCAGCTGCTGTCCTCCACAGGGTTCCCTCAGCCAGGCAACCTTGTCTTAGGCAACCAAGGGAACCCAAGCCTGGAGAGGAAAGGGCTAGCCAGGCAGGGTTCTCACAAAACAGCTGCCAGCAAGAGGTTTGCAGCCTTTTATTAGCTGGGTGGGTTGATTCAATGAGAAACAAATAAACAAACAAAAACAAAACAAACAACAAAACACCCCCCAAAAAACCCAAACCCAACACCAAGGGAGAGGGCTCTGAGTTCGTGAACTGGAGTTTGAGTCTGGGCCACTCCAGGACCTGACCCAGGATGTAGACTGAGAAATGGCTCCTTCTACAAAATCATTACTGCATCCCCCACCTCATTCTCACTCCACTTTGCAACCCCATTCCCCACTGCCCTATGACTCCGCCCTACTTGACTGGACTATGGTTCAGCCCTTTACCTTTGACATTTCTTTGTTCCTAAATTCAATAGTAATCATTTATTAAAGGCCTACAGCATAGACCTGCTAGTCATGTAACACAGCCCTGGACAGGAGACCACAGATGTTCTAACCGGGAGCAAGAATGAAGCAGTGACAAGTCAGCCTTTAGGGTCAGGAGGGGACAGTGAGAAGTCCTCCATTTTAGGGAGGAAAGTACTCACATTTTAGAAATGCATCTGGGGTCTCAGGGAAAGGACCACACATCCCAAAACACTAGGGACAAGCAATTTCACTTCTGCAGAAGGGGATTCAAGCTCCAAGCACACCCAGTGGGAGTCCCCCTGGAATTCATTACTGTTCCTCACTCAGGATGGTCAGTGCTAGGCCTCACATGCTTAGTTGGCTGCTAACAGTAAACCCTTAGAAACAGTGCAACTGATAAGCAAAGTGTAATTTTGAGAACAGGGTGAATCTTTTTTTTGAGGGGGTGGTGGTTGTTGATTTGTTTTTTTTGTTATTGTTGTTGCTGTTGTTTGTTTTAGTCAGGTTTTCTGTGATGCCCTGGCTGTCCTGAAACTCACTGTGTAGATCAGGCTGTCCTTGAACTCACAGAGCTCTGCCTGCCTCTGTCTCCCAAGTGTAGGGATTAAAGGCATTTGCCACCACAGCTCAGGATGCAACATGGAGCACATACTTTGTGATCTTACACAAAGGTTAGGCTATGAGCCTGTGCAGAAGTCACAGCTCCCAGGGCTCCAGGCCTCTGCTGAGAAGAGTAAACCTGACACAAAGGGGATGAAGCCTGTGAGGACTCTAACATTTTATAAAAACTCCCTTTGATAGAAAGATGGTAAAGTTGGGTGCAATGGTGCTCACCTTAATCCCAGCACTCAGGAGGTAGAGGAAGACAGGTCTCTTTGAGTTCAAGAGAGCCTGGTCTACATAGTATGGTCTAAGAAGCCATGTCTACAAATGAAAAATAAATAAATAAATAAATAAACAACAATTAAGCATATTTAATTTCCATTTCCTACATCTAGGAGGACTGAGGAAAGCAATGAGTAGGTTCTTCTGATGTCAGCACAGTGTGACTAGAATCGCTGGAAGTCACTAGAATGAATGAGGGTTCTGCTCTCTCCAGATTTGTGTGTTGGAAGGATCTCAGGCTGGACTGAAGAAGTGAAAGTGCTCTTAGTTGGGGCTGGAGAGATGGCTCAGTGATTAAAAGCACCTGGTGCTCTTTCAGAGGACCCAGGGTCCATTTCCAGTGACCACATGTTGGCTCATGACTATCTACAACTCCAGCTCCAGGGGTTCTGATGCCCACTCCTGACCTTCTTGGACACCAAACAAATAAGTACATGATGCCCATGAATACATGCAGGCAAAACAAATGAAATAAAAAATAAATATTTTTTTAAAAAAAGAAAGAGATCACCGGGCATTGGTGGCAAATGCCTTTAATCCCAGCACTAGGGAGGCAGAGGCAGGCAGATCTCTGTGAGTTC